TTGACGACCGTCACAGACACCGTCTAGAGCTCTCGGCGCCGTCGCAGGTCATGATATGGCTCAGGTGCTGCGTCGTCTGGCGAGCGGAGGCGTTGCTGATATATTATTTATTGTACCAGCCAGTCTCTGCTAGTAATAAATCGCAACTCTCTCTCACTCACACACACAACACACACACACAACCTTTTGCATCCCATGCAAAAAGGAGGCAAAAAGCAAACATGCAGCAGCTTTTTTGCAAAAAAAAAAAAAAGCAGCAGAAGGCAGAGAGGAAGAAGAAACGACGAGACAAGACTCTGAGATGGGCAGACAAAAGGTACGAAAGGTCAGTCTAGAACAACCTTGGGCTCGCTGTCGGTTACATGGATGAGGCTGCTCCCTTGCTGCGTATCTTTCTCTCTCGCGGCCGGCGGGACATTCACTGGCTGCCTGACCCTCGCGGTCTCTTGACTCGCCGTCTCTGCAAGTGATCCAGGGCGATTCGAGTTTATCTGAGTGAAGACTCTGACGGCGGCGGGAGATATCAGACCAGGAGGAGTCAGAGCCTGTCAAGGAGGCGAAAAACGCATCAGAATCTTCCTGGTTCCACTGCTCTCCGTATTCCGTACCTTATCTGGGGCCCTTTTTTTCCATCGATAGTAACTAGTTGCTTTCACTGACGCCGTCTAGATAGAGGACTCGAAACCTTCGCTGCCGCTTATCGCGGAGTTCTGCAAGTACAAAAATGTATCGGGAGGATTTTTGGGCAGATCAAGGAAGCTGGCCGGAGTGCCTTGACTGACTACATACAGCTATGTTATCCCCTCGAGGGCCAGGAACACAAGACATTCGTCCATGATCCACTAGCAGTTAATGGCAAAAGGGGAGTCGACAAGCCTGGGAAAAGCCTTACAAAAGCAGAAGCCCAGAGAGAAAATAGCCGGCTGTCGCCACGGTGAAGCCAGACTGAGAGACGACCAGCCCCGTGCATATAGACATTACAGCCAGAGGGCTAGTTAGTTTCTACTTCTCTGCGCAGCCATCTCTGCCGTGACCTCGGCCCCGCCCCGCGGTTTGCAAATAAGTGAGTGACTTGGTTATCGACAGCTTGAGTCAGCTCTATTGACATAATCCGAAGGCAAATAATAATGGGGGGAGATATGATGATATGATGCTGGCTGCATATTGACGACCAGATCCCTAATCCCGTGTCTGTGCTGTCCATGGTTGGGAAGAGTGATGCTCCTATCTCGACCATGGTAGAGTACATTCTCACCAGGGCGAATGTAAGTACATCAAGCTTCGAGCGAAGTTGGAAGCGCCCGTATTTGCTTTTCCCTCCCAGTGCGGTGGTGCGACTGTTATCGGCTGCGCAAGCCGTGTACACTGCATCGCCTTCTTGTTCGACGGTACCTGTAGAGAGGGTCACCTTGGTGCCAGAGAACAATAACACGACCAGCAAATAGCAAGGTCAAGATCAGGCAGACTCCTGGAGAGACACGGGAAGTCTGAAAAGCCAGACTCTAACTATTCACTTTTCCTGTCTTCGATGGCTCCTGTTAACCGATGGCGTGGCATGGACCTCTTCCTCCGTCTTCCAGGGTTGGTCTTGGTCTTGGGTTCGGATGTTGGAATCGAGATCTAAACATCGGAGTACAAAGCTCCTTTTTTAGCACAATCTTGGGGGATCCAGTTTTTTTCTGTTCCCACCTCTTCTACTCTTTTTTTCTCATCATGCAGCAACATCCCGCTTCTCCCGAAATACTCCGCCAGCGGGTGACGGGGGGGGGCCTCCTTGGCCTATCTCAAGGTCGCGATGCGAGGGTCTCCCTCCCCTACGAACTGCGGGGAATTATGATACAAGCCAATTGATGGTGTGATATGTTGAGCTTGGGCGGGCTAAAGAACCAGGCTGCGGCACGGTCTCTGGTTCTGCTTCGATGATCGGCCTGTTTAAACGTCGGTCTCTGGGTGGTGTATACTCCGTACTACCAGCGTGCATATAACTAGCCGATGATGTTCCGCCCTTTTTTTTTCATGTCAAAGATCACATCCTTGTACGACGAGGCTTGACGAGGGGTTGGTTGGTGGTATGAGGGGCGCAAAAGAGGCACTAATCGCTTTGCTTGACTGCATGCAATGTCTATCATCCTCTTCATTCAGCTTCCCCTCCCTCCTTCCTCGCCGGCATAAAACGAGGCAATATGCCGCGGAATCGGCATTCCAGGCCATATCAACATCGCATCATTTTGATACGAAATGTATGGTACGTATGTATGTATATATGGATGGGTGCCTGGTTTCGACGTGGATGAGATGTTTTCTCTGGTCCAGTTGATACGCCATGCCACCCAGCGGCTGGCCTTGAGAAGTCACCCAATTTAATCAGCGCAATGCATGCATTAAGCAGAGTGAACCATGATTCTTAACGGCCGTGCATATAACTATTTACCACCTAGCTTGGATTGTGAGGTGTCTATATGAGCGAAACCAACTCACCATCACTACCAGCTTTTATGCTATGCAGAGTAAGTGATCTAGAGTCGCTATTCGTGTATGCATCAGTGCAATTGCACGACTGAATCCGAAAGCCAGTGGAAGACCTGGTCGGCTTGACAATGCAAAAAGGGCGTCACATATTAACAGGGGGCCTATAGGAGCAGCGGCTTCTGCAGGAAATCAGGTTGAGACCCTAGATGTCGAGCCCCTTCCAAGCATCGTAAATGTCTATTTATTTGCAGCTCTTGACAAATTCGAGTAAGTCGATGTATTTAAGTATAGATACTCAACAACTAGGTGAGGCTTGGTTGTTTTCCTGGACATGGTTTAAGCGAACTGGTTCGGCATCCTAAGTATGACGCTATGAACGACCTGCTATTTCAGTCTTGATAGCTCTGCGGAAAATACCCCCGACCGTCACTCCAGGGCTGGTCGAGACTATAAATGGCAAGAATCCATCCATGTAGTGCAGCGGCATAACTACGCAGTTATTCATGACGTTGTCTCTCCCGTCTCCTCCGTCGACTTGTATACTTCGTATCAGCGTATACAATCTCGGCTACTCGGCCAAGCTGGATGTCAATCAACATTGCAATTGAACCAGGTCAGTCGAAGCATCGTGTTGTCTGACCTGTTTTCCTTGACTTGCTGTCAAAAAGAGCAATGTTCAATGACGCTGGCGAGCTCCGTCTGTCATCGGGGATCGCCTGGTCAAAATAGACTCCGGTGAAACACCGCCTTTTCTGGCGTCCATGATGTGCCGCTGCAACTCTGTGCCAGCATCGCTTCGCCAACCCCAAGGACGACCAGGAAGTCTTCCATCTTCCGCCGTCTTCATGGCCGTTTCTCTCTTCCAGTTATGCGTGTTTGTTAGTGTTTCGTCTCTTCATCTTGCAAGCGACGTCGCTTTTTTCCCTTTTCGGCCCAGGATAGCCGGATATGGAATATACTTAATCCGAAATAAAATCTTAGTCATATCTTAGTCATATTTATTACATAATCTTGACCCTCCCGCGAGTCCAGGGAAGAAACAAAAGAAGCAGAAGAAAGCATTTACATTCGCCGTCTTAATTGCTATAGATCATAGCCAAGATATAAAGGAGAATCATGGCTGACACTGAAAATGGAGACGCCGGGACTGCGCCTGCTGAGCCTCAAGCCCGTCATATAGTATACTGCGGAGGTAAGCGTGGGTTGAGCCGCGTTGTCTGCCCCTCCAAAAGCTATGGTGGGATGAAGGCTAACATTGAATGTGCTTCTTATAGTGTGCTCTCTCCCTCCAGAGGTACGGATTATGTCCCTGGGAGATAGTCTGATATAGTCCATTTCTTAAAATTACTATACCTTTGTCTTTTTATACCATTTGAACCACCCAGGGGCTCGCGTGACTGACCTGGAATGCATATTATTAGTACTGTGAATTCGGCGGCACAAAGAAGAAATGCGAAGAATGGCTAGAAAAATCACACCCAGATCTCTACCAGAAGCTATATTCAGATGGTACCTCCACGCTACCTTCCTTTCAGACGTGCCGGTCGAGTGTCTAACAATGAGCAGAAACAATCGCCGCGAACCTCTCCGCATTATCAGTTGAAGCCCGTGAGCGAGCAGCCAAGGACGCGGCTAAGAAAGAAGCCAAAGCTGCCCAAGCCGAGAGCCGTGAACATGAAAAGAAAGCTGCCTCCAAGATCCTTATCAGACGGGTGGAGCGTAATAAGCGGAAATTCGTGACTGTTATATCTGGCCTTGAGGCACATGGGTTAGACAACAAGAAGGTAGCCAAGGGACTAGGCAAGAAGTTCGCGACAGGAAGCTCGGTGACGAAGGCTACTGGTGCTGCTGCCGCGACTGGAACAAACGAGGAGATCACTGTGCAAGGAGATGTCAGTGAGGAGGTGATGGAATGGTTACTAGAGAATTACAAGGATGTCCCAGAGGACAACTTTGAGTTGGTGGAGGATAAGAAGAAGAAATCCGGGGCTGCGGCTGGGGCGCCTCCTGCTTGAGTTAAGGCTTAACTAACTACGTGGCGAAGGGCATGAGTTTCCTGGTGATGATTATTCTGGGATCTCGCGGGCAGGCTTCTTCATTTTTCGTTTCGTTTTACGCTCTTGGAACATGCGTGTGGGAGATGCATCTTTTGGTTTTTATATTTTGTTTTCTCATGCATATGAAAGGGTCACGACATGTTTTGGTTGAAGGGTTTTGCCGTGTGATAAATAATTGAAACAGAATTTACACATATCTACGGATTGGTATAGATTGAAAGAAGCGACACCACTTTGATTCCGTTAAAACTCCACTCTTTATGGGGGTATCATATGCAAATGTAAGATATATAACAAACAACTCCGGGTTAACTCAAAAGATCCTCCAACTCCGTCCTCATGCTTCTTCTATGGATCTGCCGTTGACCATTTAACTGCGTGGAGATGCCATCCCCTTCCCTTGAAACATTGGTAACATCATATCGGTCAGTGGCAGGAGTGCCATGGGTACAATGATATCACATAACGACAGGCTTAGAGTTCATCAATTATCCGCTGCAATGGCTCCTCTAAGGCGTCCAAGTCGAGAGGAGTTTTATAGGCGCTCCTTGCACGGCCAGTGGTTGGAGTGCCGGTCGGAGTGCCTGTTGCAACGCCAATGGCAGTGCCTGTAGTCATGGCATTCTTTGCATTGTCAAGGGTCTCCACACAGCATTCAGAGGAGTTCCCATGCAAGGTGGTGTTCGCCTTGGAGCCAAAGATGGAGTAGTCAGGGTACATTTTACCCATGACTTTCATGCCGACCCAAGCAACAAATAAGAAAACAATCGCGGCACCAAGAATCCTCAAACGCCTATTGATTTTCGCCTGCCACTTGTCTTCTTCACGGTCCCAGGCATGGATTCTCTGCCGCGTAACGTCGAGTCTGGCGTCCAGCTTCTTCGATGCTTCCTCGGTAGCCTTCAAACGGGCCTCCAACAACGCAATGCTCTGCAGCTGGCGCTCGAATTTGTTGATATTGTGTACATGTCTTTCCGCATTGCGCATCACACCCGTCGTGCGGTATAGGAATTCTCTGTGCTGCGCCAAAGCGGTGTTACTGAGCCGTTGGAGACTGTAAATAGTGCCGCGGATTACACTGGCATCGTTGACCAGATTGCCGCAAGTGTCTTCGATTCGTTTGGAGAATGAGCCTGACTTTTCGGTAATTTCGTCGAAGAGTTCTCTATTCGCGCTGCACACGTATTGTTAGGATGATATAACTCCTATACCGGCAATCAATATGTAAAAAAGGAGACAGAGAAACGTACGCTTCAGCCTCGAGTCTCTTCGTATGCAGCTCGTCAACACGAGCCTGAGTGACCGCTTCTCTCGTCCTGGTAAACGGGAACCGTCTCGCAAGCTCCTCCCTGTTCTCCTTGGCCTCTCTATCGCGACGAGCTTTCTCGTCAAGCTCCCGCTTCTCCTGCGCCTTTGCCCTCTCCTCCGCCTCGGCCGCAGCGGCGCGAGCTCTCTTCTTGCCCAGGTGGAAGGGCATCTCCGCGACCTGCTCAGGTATGGGGAAGCTCGGGTTCCTCAGATATTTCTCGTCGCGTTCATGCCGTGACTTCTGGTGCTTATGGTGTCGTCGGCTGCGTTTCTCGGCGTCGTAACTCCTGTCCTCGGGGTGCTGCTGGAGCGGGCTGGACGGGGAGAAGAGCGACGGGTCCGGTATGCTGGCGTGGTGTGGGATGTAGAGGTTGTTATTGAGCGAGGGATAGGCCCTGTTGGGAGGCAGCAGAGGCGAGGGCTGCAGCGAGGATGAAGCTGGTGAAGCGGGAGAAGCCGTGTGCATCTCGGTGCTTTCATCGGGACTGCCTGCTGGTGCTGGTGCTGGTGTTTGCTGTGCGGCAGGCAGCGCCAAAGGGGGTATCCGGAGGTTGTCCTGCTCCATCTTCTCTTTCTCTGCCTCTGCCTGCTCTTGAGCTGCTGTCTTAGGATTGCCGGTTAGCACTGCTTGCTATTATTGCATGCACTCCACAGGCAATGCACTAGGCAAGAAATCGCAGGCTGTCTGGGGTCGGTGATTTTTAAATAGTTTTATTAACAGGGGTTTGTTTTTCTGGCTGGGCTACGCTAACTACGTCATCCCTCAGGGACCCTGCAGCAGAGCAAACAACAGCTTATTATATTAGGGGGGATTGACTGAATTTATAAATAGATGTCTACCAGGGTGAAATTTATATACTTGGATAATTCATGTTTGTAAGGCTGAATCTTTAGTATCAAAGCACTAAGAAGTGTCTCACTGCCATTAATCCTTGTGGAGCAGGTCTCAATGCCTCTGGGGATAAAGAGAGGGCCAGTCAATTACCACCAGGCTAGAACATTCAGCCGTCTCATTCATCTGCAGTTCTAGCTATATCCAGTAGCTAGTTGTATCTGTATATCTTTATGTCTGTGTAGAGCATCCAAGTTCGACTTTTTAAATTCCATTATAATAACCCCAAACTCCAGCGCATGCAAAGGAAACCACCAAAAAGCCAATGTAATCTAAGAATTAAGCAGCTTGTTCCTCTTCTCGCGCTTCCTCATCCGCTCGACTCGTTTGCGGTGCATCTTCTCGGCCAGCTTCTCATATCTCTCTTTCTCTTCCTTGGCTGCTCGTCGGTCCTTGATAGCTTGTATGCGGGCCTGAAGAAGGGAAGAACTTTAGTACTAGGTATCATATACTTGGCCCTTCAAGCCGTAAAATCAGCCTGGCCTACCTGTCTTGTAGCCTCCTTCTCCTCCTTCATCTCCTTCTCCTTCTCTTTCATCACGGCCATCGCTTTCCGCTCTTCCAGCCGCTTCGCATATGATGTCTGTCCGGCAGTCGGTCTAAAGGCCTTCTTGGGTGCATGCCAGTTTTTACCTATACCAAATCAAAGGAACATCAGCAAGAGTGTCAATATTCTGATAGTAGCAAATAAGAATGATAATAATAACTACCATTCTTGCGCATCCCCTTTGGCTTCGACGATTCTATGGCAGAAGTTGGAGCAGGCTTCTTCTCCGAGGCCACCTCGACGGAGTCATGTGTGGCTTCTGACATCTTTTCTCTTTCCTCTCGTCTGTCTTCCTGTCTTCCTTTCCGACTGCTTTCTCCTCCTCTTATCTTTTTCTTTTCTTCTTCTTTTCTTTCTCTTTTTCGTCGTCTTTTTTTTTTTGCTTTTTTGGAGGGAAAGAAAAGTGTCCAAAAGAGGACTAGCGTGTGATCTTATCTTTTTGATCAGATAACCGTATTAAGGTTACTCCGAATGCCGAAGAGCCCCATTTCCCGCTGACTAAGCATGTTATTTTCGTGACCAAAAAAAGAAAAAGAAAAGAAAAGCCGAAGAAACGAAAGAAAAATCGACGACTTTCAAGAAGAAGAAGAAAAGAAGAAAGGAAGAAGATGGAGGAGAAGAAAAGCCACAGGATGGGATGGGATCTGCGTTGATAGTACGCTTTAGCACGCCAGTACGGAGTGCACTCGAAGACTCGACCGTCAACAACAACTTTTGCTGCGGTGGCTATTTATAACGTCAACCTAAGCTGCCAAACCTCGCATTCTTATTTTAAAAACTCTTACTTTGCGACCAGTCTGTCCGTTCCGCCGCCGTGCAGAGGCATCTGAATATCGTGCAGAATCTTGCTCCGCTTCACTGGAAGCATGGTTTTCTTCACCGTTGGCAGCTGCTCTATAAGGACCCTCCGATAGCGGCCTGTCCAGTGTCATTCCGATCCCTCTGACTCCCGTTCTCAGCTGCCCAACAGCAACAACAACAACCACAAGCCACCCATCATGGACGGAGACCCTCTGCCGGCGGTGAAGCAGAAGCCCACTATTCACACTATGAACGTCGAACTGTCCGATCTGCCCGTGAGAGCACAGCATCACGGCATCGATGCGGTCCAGGACATTGTTTTCGGCTCTGTGAGTAATTACTCGATTGATGTGTGCGTAAAACTTCAACCTAGCTAACTGTTTATACAAAATAGATCGCCGGCATGGTTGGAAAATACATCGAGTACCCCTTCGATACTGTCAAAGTGCGATTACAGTCTCAGCCAGACGGCCGTCCCCTCCGCTATACTGGTCCAATCGACTGTTTCCGTCAGTCTCTGCGGCAAGAAGGCATACAGGGACTTTATCGTGGCATTAGTGCACCCCTCCTCGGTGCAGCTATCGAAAACAGCTCCCTCTTCTTCAGCTACCGCCTCACACAACACTTAGCCCGGGACTATGTCTACGGCGGTCTGGAGAAGCTTCCATACACCGCCCTGCTAGTCTGTGGTGCAGCATCCGGCGCGTTCACCTCGATCCTCCTCACGCCCGTCGAGCTCGTCAAGTGCAAGATGCAAGTCCCCGCGGGTCAGCATCAAGGCAAAGCAATGGGCCCTCTGGCCATCGTTTCAGCTGTGTTTCGAACACATGGCGTTCTCGGCCTTTGGCGTGGACAGCTCGGCACCCTCATCCGTGAAACCGGCGGCTCTGCGTCTTGGTTTGGCGGCTATGAAGGCGTGTCCGCGTTATTTCGACATTATAACCCCGCAGTTTCACTTCAGGGGAAGCAAGGGATGGCAGACGACTTGCCACCTTTGCCAATATACCAGCAGATGATTGCCGGAGCTACTGCTGGCATTCTCTATAATTTTATCTTCTTCCCGGCAGACACTATTAAGTCACGCATCCAGACAGAAGATATCGCTGCACATTCGGCTAAAAGTGGTGCTAAGATGCCCTCTTTCTGGTCTGTGGGAAAGGCGGTCTGGAGACAGCATGGTGTCGCTGGTTTATATCGCGGCTGCGGTATCACGGTTGCTCGATCGGCACCCAGCTCAGCCTTTATCTTTTCCATATACGAAGGCTTAAAGACTCACTTTCAGTAGCTGGAAACCTTATCATTTCTTTGCCATTTTTATGACTTGATTTCTCGGCACATATATATGCATTGGATGGCTGGCAGATACAGGTGTACGGTGTTTTGGAGATTTCGTTTACTTTGGCCCATATTTTCTGTTCTAGAGAGCTTTGTTTATCTATTGAAAGAAAGATCTACATATATACATGTTACCCTCAAACATCCTTGAGCCCGTATTGACGTCGGAACGAGATGGTGCGTGTTTGATGTTGACTCATAGAAGGCGGCGGAGTCCGCTCCGGTACTAGCCTTGCACTAGACTTTTCCATAGTCAAGCAACTAAATATCAACTACATCTCGATATTCTTCAACAATAACCTACAAACAAAACATCTACCTCAGTCAAGAGACTTACCAGGCAGCGCAACCACTCGAAAGTCAAGATGGCGGCTTCAATCACCGACGTAGAGGTAGAGACCATGGGCCAGAAGGCCATCGCGGCCAAAGACCGTGCATACTGTTCGTTAATCTCCACAGCCGAAACAGCGCCTATCCAGGTACTGACTGCTATACAGGCGTCTACTCCAAGTTCCGCGTCGGTGCATGCCTCTTGACTGAGAGTGGCGAGTACATTACCGGCGTCAACGTCGAGAATGTCAGCTACCCGGTTGGCGTATGTGCTGAGCGCTGCGCCATGGGAACGGCCGTGGTATGAAGCTATTCCAGACCCCTGCACCCCGCATTTTGGTCTGCTGTTAATACCCAGGTATAAAAGGCGGCTGGCCATACCAGGTTCAAGGCTATTGCTGTAGCTACGGATATCAATCCGGGAGCCTCGCCATGTGGCATGTGTCGGCAGTTGTAGGTGGCACCTGCATAGCATCCCTATTTTTTCCCCCGCCTGGCCAGGTCAGCTTGTCTAGATGATGTTAACCGCCGACTTAGTATGCGTCAATTCTGTGCATTGGGCTTCCCGATCTATATGTATGGAGGGGATGGGAAATATACGCTGACGACCATGGGAGAGGTATATATATCCCTGCTTCTAATGAATTAGGTATATACTGACCTGCATCTACTATTAGTTGCTGCCATCGTCTTTCAGTCCTGCCGATCTACCACCTCCCAGCTAAACACATGCATACAGCACGATGTAGACAGTGCGGTGAGTGAAAATTGGTGCTGATATCTAAAAAATACTATATACAGGATTGTTAAATATCAAAAATTGTATCTCGTGCCAAATATCCTATCGAATCCGTAACTAGTTATGAAACTTGTTTTTGCCACCGAAGATTAGTTGAGTAATAGGCCATTATACTACATTTCGTTCAATCTCTTCAACCTGCAGAGAGGTATCCCCCTTTACTTCACAAGATGGAGACAGTTCAGCCCCACCTTGGCATATCATCTCTTCGGCCTCTGCCACCTTCTCTTCGAATCCGTAACTATCATCGTCACCAGGAACTTTGAACAGAGCACAAAGAATCCAGTAGGCTAAACTACCAACCAAAAAGCTAAGTATCCAGCCTAGCGAGAACATACGATCCGCCGCAGTAGAAAAGGAGTGGCCAAAACTCCCTATTAGTCCTGGCAAAGGGAGTAAGGACCCAATGATAAATGCAGCAAAGGCACGAATATTGAAGCCCTTGGTAAAGTGGTATCGTGCAGTTGAGGAATGGCGGTATAGATCCGGTAAGTAAAGGTTACCTCTCCGGACGAAGAAGTAATCTATCAGCATGATGCCAACCACGGGACCCTGGAAGATACAATAGCCTGTGAGGAAACGGAGGAAGCCGCTTGCAGTTCCAACAAAGCGCCTATTTGAATCATGTTAGTTGGTGGTGTTGTATAACAGAAATTAAAAAGTTACATACCAGGGTACAATTGATAGTGAAATTATCAGCCAGATTACCTGGCCTCGGACGATATTGATGTAATTTGGCGCGAGACAGGTGATGTCAGCGGCAAAGGGAACGGCATTGCATGCAATTGATGTTCCCAGGGTCGCAAAAGCCCATGCAGCAGCAGCAAAGAACACCCCTGCTCGTGCTTTCGCAGTGTAGCCATGGTCCAGTATACCGTTAAGGAGGTCATATGGATTCCAATATGCCTCTCCATACATGTTCTTAACGGCAGCCTATTACGCATTATTAGTTGTAGTCGGAGCAAGCAAGGAGATGACCACGTCGAATACCCACAGTGGTAATAATTCCAAATGCCGCACATATTGTTTGAGACAGCGGCAATCCCAAAGCCTGCCCGTATACCTGTGCATTTCGATTCGTGGAATATCGAGCGAGATCGGGAACAGTAACTATAAGAGCGGAGTTTGCTCCAAACACAGCATTTAGCTGGGCAACTAATCCCCATGCAAAGATAGACGTCGATTTACGTTTCGATTCATCGATGAGTTTATCTGCTGAAACACCTCTGTTGGCGGTAATGGCCCAGCATACAATCCCTAGTCCTGCTAGAGGTACGACGATGGCCTTGAAGCTAAACACATGTCGGATTTTGGTAGTATGGATAAGAGTGAAGGGGAGGGTGGTTAGAAAGGCGAGGAAGAAGCCTATCAGCGCTTGAACGGTAATTGCTTGGTTCTAAGAAGGACTTAGTTTAGATATAGGTCGAAGAACAGGCCATACTCACTGCGGGTATAGTATTTGGAATCTTGTTCCATCCAGAAAAGACGCAACGAAGACATACGGAAAGGAACTGTCCTTGATAATATAACTGTACACCGCCTGGTAATAATCCATATTAGCTATGGTCAATACTGCATGCAAGAAAAGGCCATACCCCATGCAATGCCAACCAACGCACGCAGCACCACCACAAAGTACTGGCCATATATCCCAAAACTTGTTCTGGACTGTACCGGAAATCCAATATGGTATGCCGCTGCAGCTCGTCCATTCAATACAATCACAACGGAAGTAAGTAGGTTTGCGAACAGAACAACGAGCACTGCATCTCTCACGGTGGCTCCAACGGTGATTAACGAGGCACCAATCGACCAAGCTGAAATTGCCCAGGACTCACTCCACCTGTAAGTGCGTTAGAGGGAAGTGAAGCAGGGTACCTAACTTAAATGAATGATATGGAACTGGGCATTACCAGTATGCGAAGAAATTGAATGCAGTCCATGTACATTTCTCGGGAGGCGAGGGAAACAAATCTTCATTGGCGAGGCTTGAGGAACTCTCTAGTTTAATGGCGTTATGTAAGGCGTGGAAAGAGGTGAAGGTATATGTGTAGCGTCGGTATTTCGACAAATCGAAGGTAGATAGTTTGGGTGTCATTTCACCAACTACCCTACCAGTTAAGCAGGATGTAGACGGATGGGCGAACTGAAGTCACCACGCCTGCGAGGGTATATATATATTTAAATAGACGTAGAAAGAAATGGCCGGGTCCAATCTACCATTTCATTATCTTGAGAGTGACAAAGGCCGTTAGAGTTTGATAACGTGTATCATGACCTGGAGACTTCCGCTGATAGCATTTAGTGTATTTGTTACTGGGGGGAGAAACCCGGGGAAAGCAGGCTGGGCGATCTTCGTCGTCATGTATCCACCACGACTGAGCTTGATAAGGATAAGAGTAGGTTATACTCAGGAGTTTCCCCAAGTAGTGAGATCCATGGCTAACTAGGCAGTTGGTGGATATCTGTTGCTTATCTCGCGGAGCGTGCCGATGAAGTAAGGAGGAGACAGGAGATAAGTATTCGGCTCGTGACCGAGGGTTGCCTTCATGGAAGGATGAAATAATAGGACATGTGGCTTTATCCTGGTGGTATCTGCAGTATACGCCTATGGGTATATGCTGCGTCTTATATAGACCATCTTCGCGGCTGAAGTTCGATGGTTGT